CTGAAGCAATTGATGAACAACAAGAAACAAGAATTAAGAGAAACAAAGAGAAAGCCTTAAACATCAAGTTTGAGCAATTCAAGCCCTATTTCCATTCAATATTTATTTTTGCTTTCAAGAACACCATTTGTGTTCAATTGTTTTTATTCTTGAGTGTTATTTCTTTGTTCTAAATTGTGCAAACATCTTGCCTTGTGAGGTTTTTCTGTAAGTTTGCAAAATTTGTAAGTTTCTCTTTGGGAGAGAGTGTTCTCAATAATTTGTGGTATAATTCTTGAGGGATTCGTAAGGTTACTCTTTGTCCTCAAAAGAAAGACAAATTAGTAATTTATGGAAAATCCTTAGTGTGGATAGCTAAGGTAGTGGACGTAGACTTTGGTTGAGAAAGTCGAACCACTCTAAATCGCTGTGCAAATATTTTCAATTTTCTATCCGAAATTTTTATTGTCAATTCACCCCCTCTTGGGTATTTCGTCGATCGATTAACTCAATAGATATATAAAAAGTATGTTAAATAAAAATATTAATTTAAGATTTGTTCGTAAAAGTATTTAACGATATTAATATATGAGACTTAATTTATTAATAATATAAGATAAATGATTTAATTTGATTAGATTAGAGAATTTTTATCTAAATAAAAGTTGAAATTAAATTTTTTTCATGCATATGAAGTAAAAACAAGGCAGTAGGGTATGCAAATTCAAATATCGAATATGATCCAATCAAAAAATTCGGATAATAGAAATTTTGGATACCTAAAATAGTGATCTATATCACATCCGAAAAATTAGATATCCAAATTTTGAATATCAGAATTTTTGGATCAAATCTGATATATCAATCCGAATTTAAAATTTAATTTGACAAAAAAATAATTTTAAATTTTATGATTTAATATAACTTATTCGATACTTTTACTATATATTTTATATATATTTAATTACTTACACATAATAAATAATTAATATAGTAATTTTTATTGGGTTAGAGCTTTAATGGGTTGATGAGTTACTCATTTATTGGGATAAAGGGTATCTAAAATCTAAAAGCTCAATATATTTTTGGATTTTTGGATAATATGAAATTAAAATTTATTTGATCCATATATGATCTGATTATCTAAATGTTTTTTGGATATTTGAATCACTGGATTAACAGATGGGATCGATCGGATCCGATCTTTTTGCACACCCCTACAAGGCAGTATCTGTTCAATACTCTCAATCATTTGACAATGAACCTTTAACTACTGAGGTCACGTGGTTGGTGCAAGTTGAAATTAAGTTCAATAATCTAAAACGTAAATTATCTTTTATTACATGATTAAAGTGATAAGTGATATTAGGTTGAATATAATTATATTAAGAAATATATCTTTATGTAGATTCAATTTGATAGTAGTTAAAATAAAGCAATTATTGGGATTTTTAGACTTTAAAGATAAAAAAAAAAAGTCAATAAGGGGTGAATTGGCCTTTTGAAAAATTTGGAGTGGGGAAGTAAAAGGAAAATTTACACAAAAATTTATAGTGGTTCAATTTCCTCAATGAAGTTTACATCCACTACCTTAGTCCACACTATTTGTTCTTTCTTTTTCTAGGCTCAAGAGTAATCTTTTACAAATTTCTATTTTTTCAAAGGCTAGGATAGAATCACTCCCCTACTACAAAAGATACAAATATGTAAACAAAAAAAAACCCTCTAAAGGTAGGTGTTTACGAGAATTGAGCTCAGAGGAATGAATCTTAAATATTTTCAATTAAACTCAAATCATTATGCACAAGAGAAAATAATAAATAAAGAGTGAAAGGGCTTTACTTTAGATATATATTGTTTGGACCTTGAATAGGTGTTATAACCTTCTTTAAGTGTCATTAACTTATTTTTATAAGTTGGAATGTGTTTGTGATAATTTCTAGCAGTTGAACGATGTTTAAAGCCATTGGGGACTTATTTTTCTGTAAAATAAAACTGTCCAAAACAGGGAGTATTGGTACTACCTAAGGAGTATCAATATTTCCTTTATATGCAACACACAAGTTGAGGTAGGCATCATGGTGCAGCTGAGGGTTACATAATGGAGCTCACACACCCCTCTAGCCTACTTATACCTGTGTGTAATCTGGTGTGAGATCCGAAACTACATCGTAAACGTACACCCTGCCAACTTACTCGTCGAGTCTTGGGGCATCTAGGCCTAGATGGTAAAAGAAGTGTCGTAGCACTAACTGGTATATACATGGACATACTAACAAACAAGACAATCGTCCTACTGCTAAAGTAACTCGGGTTTCCTGGTTGTTTCCCGAGTGCCACACAAAGGCTAGTTTTATTATACTTATCTCTTTAGTTATCTAAGTTATTTCTATTCTTGTTTATTACTACTTCTAGCTGTTATCTTGCTCGTTCTTTCCTCTAGAACGTTATTTGAAGGCTTATTTGTTTGTTACTACTTTTATTTATTAGGTTGCTCTATGATGGTCGTTAGATACTTAAGAGGGTTTTAGTTGATCTCTGCCTATGGTAAAGCCTCTATGTATTCTCAGGGTTGTACGATGATTTTTGAATTTACTGTTCACTGGTTGTACAATTCGTTAGCCTGATACCTGACCCGAGTTTAACTCTGAGTGACGACACTCTTGTCACTCCTACTATGTTTCCCTTTAATTCACCCTAAAAATAGAGGGACAATTGTACAACCACCATCTGTTGATATTTCTACAGTTCACAATTTTGCTAGCTCATGATCTGATGAATTTGTCCTAATGTTTATCAATACATCCTCAACAATGATCCATCATTCTTAGATACTCGTTATGTGCTCGACTGAAAAAAACTTAAACGCCTCACGCCTACTATGGTTACTTCAGGTGTAACCCACTCCTACAAGTGTATTCAAGCCTCTTTGGCCTTTTTCACCCCTCACAAACTAAGTCTTACTATTAAGGGTCACCCTTAGCTCTTACGTGCCTTAACTGGGTCAAAACTAACCATCCAAAGTGAGAAATATCGATACTCTACTTGTAGTATCGATACCCTAGGGTCAAGTATCGATACTCCAATGAGTATCGGTACAAAAAATGCATTATGTTGCTGAAAAATTGTCCTGGTCTCGAGACCAACCCTCTGAGTCTCGAAACTGAGGGGAATTATCAATACTTCTAGCCTGAAATCCCTAATTTTCCCCAACTCATCCAGTATCGATATTGTGCATTCCATTGTTGATATTCAAACCCTAAAAGTTATTTAAGCTTGAGACTACACCCAAAAATCATTCTAAAGGCCATAGTTTTGGTTCCTAATCATGTGATAAAAATTTAGGGAGTTAATTAGGGTCTTAAAGTAGCATACAAATGCCTTTATAACTTCAAAAACTTAATTTGATCATGATATAAAAAATAAACCCTAAAATGCTTAATTACTCAAAACTTAGCAAATTCTTGAAATTTATGAAAACTTAATACTTCAAATGATTAGAAATATAATACTTTGGTTTTTAAACTCGAAATGAAGCTCATTGCTTAGCCACACTCATTTAATTTGGTGATTTGGATAAAAAACCCCCCACTTTTCTTTAGCTAAGAATAATCCAAGGCTTTGATTCATTAAAACGATATTGCTAGAGGGATTATGAATGAAAATGAAGCATGAAAAAGGCTTAAACTCTGACCTTTTGCTTAACCTTTTGGAGAGGAGAATGAGAAGAAGGAAATACGAAGAAATAAAGGGGAAAAGAATATGAAATAAATAAATAGGCTCATCTTTTGAAAATGGGATAATTGCACCTTTGGTACTTTTTATTTTTCCAAAATTTAATAACCTTTTTGGCTAATTGGGCTTCGAACTCAACCCAATTAAACCCAACTCGGCGCAATGACTTAAAATATGAATTTCACGGAATCCATTTATCTATCGGGTAAACCTGAAAATACTATCCTAGAATTTGGGGTGTTACATATTTATTATCAATTTTTTTGGTTAATTATAATCAAATTTTGGATAATTATTTTATTGATTATTGAAAGTTAGTTTTTAGTTGGTTTGTTTCAAATTTTAAATCTTTTTACTAAATTATATTAGTTTATGAATTTGATAAATTTGAATTAAAAATCGAATTAAAACAACTTAAATGGACGAATTTAATATTTTAATTTTTGAATGTTAATCGTTTATATTTTATATTATTATTTTTATATAACCACTGATATTTGATATACTAATCGATTAATCTTGCTCATATGCTACATAGGTTTAATATGGAGTGACATTCTCAACCCAATTTGTTCTATTCATAAACACCAAAATTCAAACTCATAATTTTATTAAAAAGATCTAATACGTTTAATTACTAAGGTAACTTAATTTATACTTAAAAGATATTATTAAAATAGATAAATATTAACTCAAAATATAAGAGCCCTAAAACACCAAACGTCAAAGGTCAACTCTGGTGTACATGATGTTAGTTAAATGGGAATGAAAAGTGATTTGACAAATTGCCAATTGACAAAAGTGTGAGGAGGAAAGCAATGATGAAGCACACGAGAGAGGGCAGGTGGGCAACTGCACGCACCAAATCTTTTTGGAGAAACTAAACTATTTGACTTTGACTTCTATAAAGTAAATAATAAAAAATAGTTAATATAAAAATAAGTGCTCAAAGTATATTTTCTTCATTTAGGTACCTAAATTAATTTTGGTTAATCTAGGTACCTAATATATCAAACGTTAAACTTTTAGGTGTATGAACCGTTATCGTCGCTAAATGACATGTGTCGCCTTTATAAAATTTTAATTTTTTAAAAAATAAAATTTTCTAAGGTGACACGTGCACTTAACAGTGGAATGTACCATCCGCTAGGTCGATGCACCTAAAAGTATAACATTGAAAACGTTAGACGCTTTATTGAACGAAAAAAAGTTTAATCAACTAAATAGGAAAAACATTATAGTTTGAGCATTTGTTTTTACATTAAACATAAAAAGAAAGCCAAAGTCCCTGAAAAAGTAAAGAAAACAGATTAATCTAATTCCACCCTTCTTTCTAGGCTTGGAAACAGGCATGTTTGTTTTCCTGTTTTCCTTCATTATTTAAATCAACTAGTTTCTGTTTTCTTGTAGTCCTCCGTTACACGAATCAAAGTAGTTTCAGTTTTCTTGAGTCGTTTCAAGTAGGGGTTTGGTGTTAAATCTTCATAATGAATCAAATGGCTATAGCCGCCCTCAAGAATCAGTACAAGAGTTTTGTTCAATCTATGTTCGATGAGGTACCATGCTAATTCTTTCTTATGTTCCAGATTCCAATTGTAACAAAGAAAAAGAAAGTAATTACTGATTTCATTTCTTGAGAAAGGATCTTGTGTACTTGAAAGGGTTTTGCCTATTTTCTGGAGATGAGTTATTAGATGATTTTGAGGGTTGGAAATTTTCAATTTTTTTTCCAGGGAGTGCTTGACAACCAGTTTAGTCAACTTCAAGATTTACAGGACTCCAGTAATCCCAACTTTGTGGATGAAGTGATCACTTTGTTTTGCAATGATGCAGAGAGGATCATAACTGAAATGAACAGATATCTGTAATCTCTGATGTTATCATTTTAACCTTATGTTAGAAAGTTGATGCATGTAATCCTAAAACTAATCCATATTGCTGCAGGAATTATCAGAATGTTGATTTTAGCAAACTGGATTCTCATGTTCATCAACTTAAAGGAAGCAGCTCAAGGTAATATAGATGTTCACCTATTTGCTCAAATGTTCTGTTTTATGCTATTTTCAAAATATGGTATTTTTTCCTAAAATGATTTTTTGTGTTTGATCTCTCAGCATCGGCGCGCATCGCTTGAAACTCGCTTGTGTTAACCTCCGGCAAGCTTCATATGAGCGGAACAAGGAAGAGTGAGAGTCTGAAAATTCGGAACCATGAGTTCACTTTGAATTTTATTAGGCCATATAGTTGATAAATATGTATATGTTTATGTATGGCAGGTGTGTTGAAGCCTTCAATTCCATCAGACATGAATACTGCCTCTTGCGCAGTAAATTTCAATTCCTGATGCAGATAGAGAGGCGCATTGTGGCCCTTGAGAACAACCAACAATGAATAGAAGATAGCAACCAACAATGGAGGAACAGTTTGCCTTCAATAGGATCACTTTGTTGATCTGCATTTTACAATAAGCCATTAGGAAATCAGTCACTGCTTTGTATTATGAGAATGTTTGCATGAAAAATGAAAATCTGGTCCTTTTTCTTTTCTTTTTTACTTTATTGGACCATTTTCTGCATAATTTGGTTCTTCCTTCTTATCTTTAATCCCATCAAGAGTAAAAGGTAAAGATTTATTCTGAAAGTTGAGTGACACAATCTCATCTCTATCCAAACGATGGATATACAAATAATTGTTTTTTCATACTAGAATCCTTGCAATCAACTTGTAAATGAGGCATCTTTGGACTTAATTGTGCTAAACTACTTGCACTACAACCGAATAACATCATTTATTTTTGGTAAACTACATATTTAGTACTTCAACTATTATTTTTGTTCTATTTTGGTACCCAAATTTTATTTTTTTTTCAAAATAATACCTAATAATTAGTTTAGGTTTCATTTTGATACCCACCATTAAAAACTTAATGATGATTTTGATGTGTCATCATAAGATAATGTCATGAAGTTTGGGTACCTAAACAAAACAAAAATAATAGACTAAGTACTAAATATGTAGTTTATCAATTTATTTTTTTAACTTTCCAATGTTATGTGTAGAATGAGTACTAGCGAGCCCATTCAAACCTTAGTCCATGTTCTTCCATAAAATTTATGTTGGAATAAACTTATATTATTTTTTAAGTAAAAAATTTATAAAATTATAATAACCAAAAAAATTATTATTTATAATATAAAAAGTTATTCAGAATTTTTAAAAATTGTCCTCCCAACCCATCGGTTCATCCCTAAATCCCATGGTCGAAAGAAATGGAAATTTCATGGATTTACCTATTCTAACTTTATTACATCTCTGCCCATAATAAAGTAAACGTGAAGGAGAGAAGATATGAAAAAAAAATACAAGAGACAGTATAAGGAGAAAATTCTGATAGAGTCAGAATAAGGAACATAATTGGACTGAAAAAGAAAATATTTGAATCAGATATGATATTATTATAATAAAATTTAATACTATTTGATTTGAGTTTAAAATATTTTTATTTGTTTTTAATTTGATTTGTAATTTTAATTAGAATTTTGATTTAAAATATATTTGCTTTTATTGAGTTTAAAATTTAATACTATTTTAGTTGTTTAAAATACAACATGCTTCCTCGATGAATTATCTTTATGATTTTCACGATGTCAATTCCATGGAACGCGTTCATATCAAATATTTGTGTAGGAATTGGTTGATGAGACAAATAATCGCAACACTATCTGCGACGTGCATCTAAACAATCGCAAAGTGTAGCAAAGATGAAACGGTACACCACAACTTTGACCTTTCAAAAAATCCCACTATAAAAATGCCAAAATGACCGAGCCCCAGCTAGTGTTTTGACACTTAGTAAAATTTTTCGATATCGGAATATATTGAATGTGCGTAAAATTACCATATTTATTATATCACCCCTTTTCATGTATTTGTCTCCGAATACGAGTTAGAGATGTCACATCACAAATTAAAACAATTCTCATAGGAAAAATCGGTAAAATTTTGTTTGTTTAAAAGTCATTCAATTTTACATTTATAAACAAATATATTTTAATCGCGTAAATAAAAATGTAATATTTTAATATTCAACTCAATTTTGATTTCATGCAGTAACGTGGTAGTTCAATACTATTTTATATAAAGAGTGAAACTACCTAATTAAAATTCATCCAAATAGCAATTAAAATATAATTTAATATAATACTAACTATGCAAACCATTTCTTATATCTAATAGTATTTAATACTATTCATTATAAGTCAGTATATATTAATTATTAGTTCAGCCCAATTTTATCATACTCATATCAGAGCAAACACAACACTAAATATACATGCCAACTAAAAATATCAAAAACATCAAAAAGATGTCATATTGATATAGTGGAGCTGATCTTCAAAAAGTGATGCAAAACTACGCTCCTTACTCCACTCTTCTTTCTTTACTTACGCGTGAAACCATCACACGGTAAATAAACACTTAACGAGGCATTATAAATACTAAATAAAACATATCGATATATAAAATATCATATAAACCATTGTTCATAAAATAACATATAATAATATATGAACATATAAAAAAGACTTATTAAAGGGGTTCTTTCATCATACTCCCTGTAAAACAACAATTCTAATATAAAGCACATATAATCAAATCAGAATATTAAATGAATGTCTTACTTTCAATTGAATCAGTCAACCTGCACTTTTCAATTTCATTTAAATCATAATCCAATATATAACAAATGAGAATGTAAAGTATGTGAGTTAGATAAGTGGGTTCAATATGTAGTTTTTTATCAGTATTAAATTACACTTTTAGTGCTAAGCAGATGCATAGGTATTGTGGAACATAACATCACTATACAGGAAATCAGTAATCAAATATGGTAACTCACAACATCAAAACATCATGAATCCTATAATGCACATGTAGTGCCAATAAACTGTACACAAATGTACCAATATAGAATTAATGATCACTCAACCTCATGGCATGCCAATTGTATCAATAACTCTCAATTCACATACAATGGGCTTTATATCATAACATATAACATCCATTTACCATAAGCATCCATCGATACGTATATAGCAAAATCTTATAAACACTGCATTGGGCAGTTCATACCCGAAATCATTCAAATACCATTTAGTAAAGCATTATGAAAATATATCATAATACGATTCAAATTCTTTTTCATTTCCAAAACATTCAAGGTTGACTCATCGTAAGTCTTCCTTGTATCACTCATATAATAATATAAGTGAGAATTCACTCACCTGAATACCTTACTAACAAACCTTTACTATTGGTATAAATCTCACTCTTGTACTTTTTCGCTTGCTTTTAGCTTGCTACGATCTCAGTCTCGATCACTATCTACACTAACATTATTTACAAAACATATATATTTCAAAGTACATGTTAGTCCTACTAACATATGAGAATATTAGTATAAAATAACTAAAAGTTCTTTCAACATTTATTCGATATTAATTCCATTTCCTAAGATCAATGCCAACCTTAATACTTCAAAACACAGCTTCAAGTCCCTTAATATTCAAATCAATGAATAATTCACATAATCATTTTTAATTCCACAATTTAATTACTAAAATGAATTTTTATAATTCATCCTAATATTTCTAATTTATTCAAAATGGTTCCTTTCTATTTAACTTCAAATTCAAGCTTCTAACAACATATTCAAGCATTCCAACAATACATTTAAACATTACACGTCAACTTCCAATCAATTTCCATTTCAAACCTATATTTTCTATACTTTGTGATTTGGTCCCCCTAAACTTTACAAACTTCCAAATTGATCCTTATTCTAAAGCTTGTAGAATCATTCATTCATCATTTCTAACCTTAGTACAATTTTCCCATGTTTTCCCTAATTTTCTTCCTTAGGTTAAATCATAAATACAACTTTAGGCATGATTTCCAACTTGATTAAGATATGAATTTTACTTCCAAACATCTACAAACAATCCCATTTCAAATTCAATTCAAACTTCAAGTGTCCATGATAAACATCCTGTTCATCCATCCAATTCAAGAACTTAGGGTTTCAAGATGAACAAACGGTACCATATGATAGAGAATTTTATGTAGAACAATTTTTTATTTCATGCTCTCATTCAAAATCCTAATAAATTAACTTGAAAATCAAAAGAAAATACTTCCCTTATCTTAGAAACCCCACAGCAAAGAGAAAAGAGAAACCTCTTGCTTTTTCTTTTTCCTTAATTAAAGCCATTTGTCATTTAAGGTAAAAATGAATTTAAAATTCATTTAAAGCCAAATAATCATTTTGCCCTTGAAATCTCATGTTTATTACCATGCCACATAGTAATTTTATTCATCCAAAGGTCAAATATGAATAAGAAAATTAATTAGTTTCCAACTTTGCCCTTGCACTTTTCTGAAATTATAATCTTATCATTTTCATCCAACGGTTCATATTTAACATGGAAAATCAATCCTAAATCCAATGATCCATATTAAATCCTACCATTTTAAGGCATGGAAATGAAATTATTAACCTTGACCTATCATCCTTTAAAATATCTCAAAAATTTGATTCGATCAAATTGTCTAAAATTTTCTCAATCTTTATCACTTTAAAGCTTTTAATATAAACTCCGTACAAAAAATCCGAGTGACACGAAAACTTCATTCTTGGGTTAAATTTTTCATTTATGGAATAAAATATCTTTTTGGGGAAATTACCACTTTAATCTTTAAACTTTTGCCAAGTTTACACTTTGGTCTTTGAACTTTCAATTTATTCAAATTGGTCACTATCCAAAATTTTGGGTATTACATTTATCCGATAACAATATCTCTTTAATCAATCGGAGAAGATACGCTAGGGCTGCAAATATGACCTCCTCCTCGGTAGAGTCATTAATCACATTAAATTCACACTCCAACCAAGTGATTTGTATCTTGTACTCGTCTAAGACCTCTGGTGGTGACATTTTTCTTAAAACTGCCTAAATAATAGCAAATCGATTGAAATCATTGTCTTCATTAGTGTTGCACCATTAACCGAAAAATCAAATTGGTAAGCGACATTTTCCAATATAATTGTCACTTCACCATTCTAAAAATGGAAAGTATGCGTCTTGGGCCTCCAACGTTCAATCAGAGCCAAAATCAATGTCGGATTCACCTTAAAACAACACAAAAATGTGGCTGGATACAACCCAAATTGTTGTAGATATATAATAATCCGCTGATGCAGATCTCTTAATATCTCTCGTCATTGATGAATGACTCGTTCTTCTTGCAAACCAAGTTCAGTGGAAGAAATATGAATAGCATCAAGGCGTAACATTTCATCTCGGTAGACATTTTTTCGGAAATTCTTCAAAAATATGATTTTTTTCTCAATTGTTTCTTAACAATACACAATAAAAATCTAAACCTCAAACTCCTATTTATAATCCCAAATCCAACGGGTATAAATGAGTATATTTTTCAAAAATCCCACCACACTCGCC